AAAGGGCCGATCCTGCAATTGGAGATTGATGGGGGTCAATGCCTGAGGGCTCCCAGTATGTGAGAGGGGGCAGGCTGGGCTGAGGGACACTCCCCCTCACCCCCCACCCAGTGCACGAATTTCGTGCACCGGGCCCCTAGTCTATAATAATAAAAGCGTAATATGCAAATCAACCTAATGGCCAAACAGCAGAATGACTGTCTAGACGACCACTGTATGACACGCACTGGCGCCAGGCCAGCCAAGGCAGGTGCGATGCAATTGGTCAGGGGCCTGCCATCTCCCCACAATCATCCCGCAGAGAGAGGCCCAGGCCACCAGTCAGCAGGGCGATTAGTTGGGGGGCTCCGTGATCACCCTGCAGAGGGAAGCCAAGGCCACCCTCTGCGGGGCAATTGATGGTGGGGGGAGGGCCTCCGCAATGGATCACCCCACATAGGGAAGCCGAGGCCACTGACCAGGGGGCTATTGATAGGGAAGGGAGGCTCTGCTATCGTCCCAAAGACGAAAGCCCAGGCCACCCTCTGCAAAGTGATCAATCAGGGGGCTCCACAGAATCAGGGAACTGGGCGGGGGGGGGGGGGGGGGGACGCAGGCAGCGCCAGGCCAAGGCCAAGACGGGTGCAGGTGAGAAGCAGGGTTGTGGGTTGAGAGGCAGCTGGGACCATGAGGCAGCCAGAACTGCAAGGGCTCCGGCAGCCAAGACTGCAAATACCTACCCTTACACGAATTTTGTGCATTGAACCTCTAGTTTATTTATATTTGTAAATCTTTAATCTTTCTTTCAAAGTTTTTCATTTAAGGTACTGGATGTAGGACATGAAATTATAAAAAAATCTGAATTCCAATTCTAGCTAAACCAGAAATGACCCATAACATGAAAAGACTCTAAGCCTCGCCAGAAAAAGGAAAATTCAAATTAAAATAATATAAGACTCTTAACCTCTCAGATGAGAAAAACCTCTCAGGCTCATCTAACACATCTCCTAGGAATCTACCTGAAAGGAACTCTCATGAGTCTGCAAGAATACTTAGACCATGATAGTGTTTGCAGCATTATTTAAAAGAGCCTACACCTAAGACAATCTTACTGTTAGATTCTGGCACATTAGCTTCATGTAAAACTACTCAGATATTAAAATAATAAAGGTCACTAAATCTACTCATATGAAAGGCTATCATGAAATATGGGTGAGTAAAATATATATACAAGGTATCCCAAAACAATATAAGCACATACTTTGAATAATAAAGGCAGTGTTTATTAAAATACATTTCATTTTCAAAATTGAGCTCTCAACTATTGAAGTGTGTACATTTTTTGGGACATTCTGTAGTTGCCTTTTTTTCTTTTTTTTTAAATATATTTTATTGATTTTTTTACAGAGAGGAAGGGAGAGAGATAGAAAAATCGATGAGAGAAACATCGATCAGCTGCCTCCTGCACATCTCCTACTGGGGATATGCCCACAACCAAGGTACATGCCCTTGACCGGAATCGAACCTGAAACCTTTCAGTCTGCAGGCTGACGCTCTATCCACTGAGCTAAACCGGTTACGGCTGTAGTTGCCTTTTAAGACAGTTCCTTACAATGGCAGGAAGTGGTGGGTTACCCACACATCATAAAATCATATCTACCTGGGTTTGAATGTTGAAATTAAAAGTTCAGGATAGAACTATTTATAGTAGCCATTCCTGGAAGAGGAGAATAGTGGATGCATTTTGTGTGTTCTTTTCCTTGTTTTCCCTATGTTAATGTCTATACTGCTTTACTTGATCCCTTGAGAAATCTAGACTATTATTTTTTGAAAAATCTGTATTATTCTTTTTTCAAACATTTTAAAGAAATTACAATATTTCAAGAAGGAAATAAGAAAATCACAAACTATGTCAAAATGAAGTTAACTTCATAAAACATCTTTAAAATGTGAAGATAAGATATTGGCATTATTAATGTATCCACCTACCTCCTCTCCCTGTCCTAACATTGGATTACCAAATAATTTCTCACTTGCTCATTGAAATAAAACTTCACTTAAAACTATCCTACAGAGAAATGACATCAGCAAAAAAGGTAGAATAAGGTATACCAAAAATCTGTCCCTCCATAAAAGCAGCAAAAAAGATGTCAATAGCTGTCAAGAATTAGTATTTTTCAAAATTCTGAAAACTAACCAAAAGCCTGCAGCAAAAAAGGTAAACTCTTAAACATAAAAAAAAAAAAAATGTTTAATTAAAATGCCCAGCTACTAGTAATCTCAGTAGTAACGGTTAGCTTTGTAGTATTTTTACTTTCCCATGTTGCGTCCTCTGCCCAGAAGCTCAGCAGTGGCACTGAATAGCCCACATTCCTTATCTCTCTTAATTCAGAACTCTTCCAAACAACTACGCAGGAGTATTTATAGAAAACATTTAGAGGACGAATTACATTAGTCCACGCTGCCTGGGACAATGTGTAAGAAGAAAAAGGGCAAACAAAATGAATTAACCAAAATCTTGGGAGGAAAGTAATAAAAAAAAATTGGGTAATAAAAAAATTGGGCAATAAAAAAATTGAAAAGCTCCAACATCTTCCAAAGACTACAGAAGGCCATACACATGTTCAGAACTGTGCAGTTGCAGAGGGAAAACTACAAAAAGGTCTTAAGCTCCCAACCCTGGCTGACTTCCAGGGTTTACCCAACAAGGAAAGAAGGCAGAGTTGTAAACGTCTGGTTGAGTTTTGAAGGCATTCCCCATTAGAAATGATGGAGGCCACACAGCAATAGGATGAAACAGTAAAAGTGCTGAAATAAAAAACTATTGTAATAATAACAATTCTGGCAAAGCTATCTTTCAAAAATGAAGTGGAAATCGCCCAAGAAAGAAAAGTCCAGGACCAGAAGCCTTCACTGGTAAATTCTAACAAACATTTAAAGAAGAATAAATACCAATCCTTTTTAAACCTGTGCTATAAATATAAGAAAAGCCCGTCTAATTCTTTTCATAAAGCCAGTATTACCCTGATACCAAAGGCAGACAAAGACAACATAAGAATTCTTTATACAACCCAATTAAAAAGTGGGCATGGACCTAAATTGACACTTCTCCAAAAAGGACCTACAGATGGCCAAGAGACCTATGAAAAAAGGCTCAATGCCACTACCAGAAAGATGCAAAGTCGAATGAGAATGAGGTATCACCTCACACCTATCAGAATGGCTACTACCATCAAAAAATCAACAAATGACAAGTGCTTGTGAGGTTGTAGAGAAAAGGGAACCCTAGTGGGAATGCAGACTGATGCAGCCACTGTGGAAGACAGTATGGAGTTTCCTCAAAAAATAAAAAATAGAACTGCCATTTGACCCAGTAAGCCCATAGCTAGGAAAATACCCTAACAATCCAGAAGCACCAATAGAAAGAATATATGCAACCCCATATTCATATCAGCGCTATTTACAATGGCTAAGACTTGAAAACAGCCCAAGTGCCTATCAGTAGATGAG